AGCCGGCCACGGCGCGCCGTGCTCCGCTCGCCGCCGCCTGCAGCAGCTACGGACACCCCGTGGCCCTAGCCCCGCGGGCCCCGGCCCCGTCGCCCCCGGCTCTGTCCTCCCGGCCTTCCCCCCTGCCGTCCCGGGACTCGCAGGCTCCGCCGCGCACGGGGCCGGTTCTGGGGGAGGGAATGTAAACAAATCGGGGTTTTATAGTTACCTCACACTCGAGTGCCGTGTGCATCTCCTCTCCGCTCGGTACCAAACCCCGGCTGCACCAAACCGTGTATTCACCAAAGCCGCCTGCGCTAACTGCGTCGCGGAGTCCAGCGCTTCCCTCGCCGAGCTACGCTAGCGGCGTACCCGGCCCACTCCGGTGCCCTGCGCAGCCGCACCCCGTCCGCCTCAGGGTGCTACGCTAGCGGCGTATCCGCGCCGCCCAGCCATTCAGATGCCAACGCGCCTTACGTAGGGGAACTGCACCACTCGCCGATTCCACTCGGAGAGTCGGAGGTGTAAGAAACTGGAGTCTACGCAAATTGCGGAGCTCGGTATCTCCGCGTTAGTTTTGTTCCAAGGAAGGACTCCGCGAGAGAGTTGGGGCGGCTTCTAACGCATGCGTACAGCGCCTTTTACCGCTTGTCTTTTCCCCAGGTCTCACTTGCTGAGGCCTTGGGCAGGCGGGTGAGGGTGGAAGCCCTAGGGGCAAGCGCCCGAGCCGAAAGGTTTCAGAGTGATTATTAGGATGTTAATCTGTACACGAGTTAGACATCTACATTAAATGAACTCCTCCCCTTCTGTTCCAGTAACTGTTCCATTCTAGGCTAAACTGATCTTAATTAGGGCTACGTGCAAGGTATTTTGCATAACTCCCCCCACCGCACCCCCATTTAAAGTGCACTTACAACGAGTCCTCCCAAACTGAAAGGAAGAGTTGAGTCCTAAAAATATGTCACACAATTCTGGTAGTTTTGGACACCTTTCCAAGCTCTGCTACCTACTCCTAACAGGTGGACTGTTTTAACGCAAAAGGGCAAGGCTTCCTGCTCTGCCCAGCAGCTCGGCGGACTCATGCCCACAACCTGCCCACTCTTGTCTCCTTCTGCCCGTACCTCCATTCTCCAAGATCTTCCTCCCTCTTCTAAAGTGACAACCCATAATTTTCTTAAAAGGTGGCCTTGGAAACACTTCCCTTTGCTTCGTTATTCATTACTCTGTTTCCTGGCTTTTAATTCACATCTAGGCTTACTTGTATTCTGCTCGGGGTTCCTGTACTTCTCTGTATTCTAACTGAAGATACTTAGGGGAAGTGAATTCTGGGGGTGCTCTACTGGAGCCCAGAAGAGTTTACAGTCTTACGTGTCAGGTACTTCCAGCATGCTTTACATGTGTATTGAGACTCATAATGCAGTGAAGTAGGATTATCTAGGAACCCAAGTAACTTGCCTAAGAAAGCAAGGAAGGAGGGGCGCTGAGAATCAAACCCATTCAGCATACAAAGCGCCTCATATCCCTCCTTCGCCAATTCACGGTCTTACTACTGCGGCCAAAGGAAGAGGTACACAGGAAAGAAGTCAAGTCTGAGGCTTTGCCACTGATGAAAGACGATGAATGACCAGAGTCATTCGTGGATAAACTGGGGGAAGGTGTTAAGTATCTCGACTTAAGTATTTATTAAATCATTATGGATCCTTTGGGTTCAAAGGGTAAAAAAGATCCAACTTGCCCTTATATTTTAAGGCTCTTAATTATTTGATTAGACATATCATCAGCTTCCTTAAAATATAATTATCTTTCAAATAAGATATAACGCTTGTATCCCTTATTTTTCAAACGCCTACTGTTCCGGTTTGTTTCTTCATTGCTGTGACAAAACACTCTGACCACTACCAACCTGGGGAGGAAAGGGTTTATTCAGCTTACATCTCCCAGGTCACAGTTCATCAGGGAGCCCAAGGTAGGAGGAACTCAGGGCAGGAACCTGGAAGCAGGAGCTGGAGAACAGGCCATGGAGGAATGCTGCTTACTGGCTTGTTCCCCTGGCCCCTGCTCAGCCTGCTTTCTTATGCTACATAGGCCCACCTGCCCAGGGGTGGTACTACCGACAGTTGGCTGGGCCCCCACATCACTCATCAAAAAGATGCCCCTCAGACATGGCCACAGGCCAGTCCAATAGAGGCAATTCCCCAATTGAGGCTCCCTCAAACCAGGTGTGTCAAGTTGACACTAAAGCTATCCAGCACACCTACTCTGCTTTGTGGCTATGTATTTAAAAGACTAATGATCATCTTGGTACACACAGGTACAGCCTAACCCTTTATCAAACACTGAAATACGTCCATACAAGGCAGATAAGAGCTACAGCTCTAAGTGGGATTCCACCACCTCTGCATCTCTCCCGGTTCAGTCGAGACTTCCCAGATCTCCACATGTGGGAACTAGATGGTTAACATGGGCTCAAGTGGTTCCTATTCTAATTGGTTGGTACCTATTCTTTTCAAGTTGTGGCATATTTTCAATATCACCCCTTCATAAAACCATATGGTGAACTACTTTAAAATAAAGACTGTGTGTCCTATGAGTTTTAAAAATCTACTCAAGCATTCATAGACATTCAAGTATATGCACACTGATTTTGGCAGGACTAAGAGTAAAACTATTAGGATAGATGATTAAACTACAAAGTACTACATAA